ATCTCACCCAAGTGCCCCACACAAGGTCAGTACTCAGTCTACAAAGGTTTAGTGGATTGTTGAAGTCGGAGAGCCACGCATGCAGAAGTCCAATGAAATCCCTTCAATTGGAGAGCTAACTCTGATGTAGTCCGCTTCAATGACGCAGTCCCACGTTGTTCCCACAACTGAGTGATCTTCGCGTCCTATCTTTTAAGCAACGTTGATACTTCTCAAGTTCTTCTTCATAATCACCAAGAACTAATTGTCTTGAGAAGAGGCATGACAACCAGAGATGTGTATTTTATTTAGTATAGAGTGTTGCGGCTTCAATCAATGCAACCCTAATTCTTGAACTAATAAGGATATATATATATATATATATATATATATATATATATATATATATATATATATATATATATATATAATGGAATTGTAGATGCATGTATCATATCCAACTCTTGATCATAATTCTTTTTTAATTTTATTGTGAGGAAATTGTATTGGTGAGTTTAGATTGTTTGTAATTTTGATTAGTTTTTATTTATTTATTTATTATTATTATTGATTAATTTTTATAGGCAAAATAACAATTGATACGAGACCATAACATTTATGCATTGATTAATTTTTTACAGGCAAAATAACAATTGATATGAGGTCATAACATTTATGCTTAAATTTTCATACCGTGCATCGCACGGGTAAAATACTAGTTATAGTAATAATAATTGGCTAATAGGATGATTTCGCGTTTTTGTATTGTTATTAAGGCTGATTTTACGGTTTGTATTAATGATTGATTTAATTTAAATAATTTAATTAAGGGTGATTGAATTTGATTTAGGATGATTTAATTTAATTAAGGATGATTATTTGTAATACTAAATATGTATAGGCTGATTTAATTAAGAATGATCTAATTTAATTAAAAATAATTATTTGTAATACTAAATATATAGGCTGATTTAATTTAAATAATTTAATTAAAGATGATTTAATTTCATTAAGGATGATCATTTGTAATACTAAATATATATAGGGTGATTTAATTTAAATAATTTAATTTAAATAAAACACTATACTATTTATAATAACGAATTATTATAATAATAATAATAATAATAATAATAATAATAATAATAATATTATTATTATTATTATTATTATTATTATTATTATTATTATTATTATTATTATTATTATTATTATATTCTTCTTTTACTCGACATGTTAAATTACATGAATTACATGAATTTATTTATAAATTGGCTAATTCGTTATTATAGTATAGTATAGTATTATTGTATTATATTATTATTATTATTATTATTATTATATTAAATAGTAATTATAGTAATAATATTTCGTTAAGGCTAATAGGATACATGATTTCGCGTTTCTGTATGTGAAAAATTTATCCTGTATGTGAATTGTTATTACTATAATAATTACTATAATCTAGATAGATATATAATTATAATAGTAACTAATATTATGTTCTTCTTTTATTCAACATGTTAAATTACATGAATTACATGAATCTATTTATAAATTAATATGAATACATTAAATGTTTTCACATTTGGAAATTTTTTGGGAATTACACAAAACTATTTATAAATTAATATGAATACAATAATTGTTTTCACATTTGGAGAGAAATTTTTTGGGAATTACATGAATCTATTTATAAATTAATATGAATACAATAAATATTTTCACATTTGGAGAGAAAATTTTTGGCACAATTATTTTGCTTTAATATATATAGAGATAGAGATATAATCCATGCGTGTAATACACCTACAGAAATTACCAAAAAAAAACAAATAAAAAAAAACAAAAACACTAAATTAAACTAAACTAAACTAGGAATATTAAATAGACCACATATTATTGTAATTAATATAATCCAGGAGTATAATATATTTATTGCAAATCCATTTGTGTGGTAATTTTTGTAACTTGGTATTAGAGTAATAATAATAATAATAATAATAATAATAATAATAATAATTATTATTATTATTATTATTATTATTATTATTATTGTTATTATTATTATTATTATTATTATTATTATTAAATATGAACATTTTGGACTTTATACTACTTATTCCCTTTCAATTTCACGTATACTAAACATTGGAATTGAAATTCTCAGTAATTCTATTCCTGAAACCAAACACTTGAATTTAAATTATTACTTTATTCTCAAATTATTCATCTTCCATGGAATTACAATTCTTTTCCCACCTAATTCCCTCCCTCCAACCAAACACTTCGTAAGGATTTAATTGACGAAATTTTAAACTATTTGAAGATCAAATTAGTTAAAATTGAAAATTAGGGACTACATTGACAATTGAAAAATAATCTTGGGACCAAAATGATGATTAATTCTATATTGATATTTTGCACAAGTATATCCATGTGGAGTGATTGGAAGAGTAAATTCACGTACTCTTAGTCTTCAACTATTGAAATATTGTCAAACTTTATCCTCTTTAAATTTTATCACATTACACCGTTGAATTTCATTTATTTGTCACAATTAGTTATTCTTTTAAAATTTTGTGATTCCATCATTTAATAAATATGACTAAGATTTAATTTAATTTCAATTCATAATTCAATTAAAAGAGTTTAGACGCGGAGAGAGAGAGAGAGAGAGAGAGAGAGAGAGAGAGAGAGAGAGAGAGAGAGAGAGAGAGAGAGAGAGAGAGAGAGAGAGAGAGAGAGAGAGAGAGAGAGAGAGAGAGAGAGAGAGAGAGAGGATGAGAAGAAAGATCAAAATACCCCTAGATTACATGGCCTGTTGATGGAAGTACTAACGGTGAACTAAAAGTGGAACACATTCAATAATAGTGGTCATAAAGTGGCAAAAAAAATTAAGGTGGACTAAAATTGGAAACACCCCTATAACAGTCGAACCAAAAATGGAATTCACTCTAATAATAATTGGCTAATAGGATGATTTCGCATTTCTGTATTGTTATTAAGGCTGATTTTACGTTTTGTATTAAGGATTGATTTAATTTAAATAATTTAATTAAGGGTGATTGAATTTGATTTAGGATGATTTAATTTAATTAAGAATGATTATTTGTAATAGTAAATATATATAGGCTGATTTAATTTAAATGATTTAATTAAGAATGATCTAATTTAATTAAAAATAATTATTAAATAATTATTTGTAATACTAAATATATAGGCTGATTTAATTTAAATAATTTAATTAAAGATGATTTAATTTAATTAAGGATGATCATTTGTAATACTAAATATATATAGGGTGATTTAATTTAAATATTATTACTATAATAATAATAATAATAATAATAATAATAATAATAATAATAATAATAATAATAATAATAATAATATATTCTTCTTTTACTCGACATGTTAAATTACATGAATTACATGAATTTATTTATAAATTGGCTAATTCGTTATTATAGTATAGTATAGTATAGTATTATAGTATTATATTATTATTATTATTATTATTATTATTATTATTATTATTATAGTAAATAGTAATTATAGTAATAATATTTCGTTAAGGCTAATAGGATACATGATTCCGCGTTTTTGTATGTGAAAAATTTATTCTGTATGTGAATTATTATTACTATAATAATTACTATAATCTATATATCTATCTATAGATATACAATTATAATAGTAACTAATATTATGTTCTTATTTTATTCAACATGTTAAATTACATGAATTACATGAATCTATTTATAAATTAATATGAATACAATAAATGTTTTCACATTTGGAAATTTTTTGAGAATTACATAAGTCTATTTATAAATTAATATGAATACAATAAATGTTTTCACATTTGGAGGGAAATTTTTTGGGAATTACATGAATCTATTTATAAATTAATATGAATACAATAAATATTTTCACATTTGGAGAGAAAATTTTAGAGGCAATTATTTTGCTTTAATATATATAGAGATAGAGATATAATCCATGCGTGTAATACACAGAAATTACAAAAAAAAAAAAAACAAAAAAACAAAACTAAACTAGGAATATTAAATAGACCACATATTATTGTAATTAATATAATGCAGGAGTATAATATATTTATTGCAAATCCATTTGTGTGGTAATTTTTGTAACTTGGTAATAATAATAATAATAATAATAATAATAATAATAATAATAATAATAATAATAATAATAATAATAATAATAATAATAATAATAATAATAATAATAATAATAATAATAATAATAATAATAATTATTATTATTATTATTATTATTATTATTATTATTATTATTATTATTATTATTATTATTATTATTAAATATGAACATTTTGGACTTTATACTACTTATTTCCTTTCAATTCCATGTATACCAAACATTGGAATTGAAATTCTCAGTAATTCTATTCCTGAAACCAAACACTTGAATTTAAATTATTACTTTATTCTCAAATTATTCATCTCCCATAGAATTACAATTCTTTTCCCACCTAATTCTCTCCCTCTAACCAAACACTTCGTAAGGATTTAATTGACGAAATTTTAAACTATTTGAGGATCAAATTAGTTAAAATTGAAAATTAGGGACTACATTGACAATTGAAAAATAATCTTGGGATCAAAATGATGATTAATTCTATATTGATATTTTGCACAAGTATATCCATGCATGTGGAGGGATTGGAAGAGTAAATTCACGTACTCTTAGTCTTCAACTATTGCAATATTGTCAAACTTTATCCTACTCTTTAAATTTTATCACATTACATCATTGAATTTCATTTACTTGTCACAATTAGTCATTCTTTTAAAATTTTGTGATTCCATCATTTAATAAATATGACAGCCAAACAGGGTATTCGATGCAGCGAATTCGAAAGCAGGAAATTCTGCGGAGAGAGAGAGAGAGAGAGAGAGAGAGAGAGAGAGAGAGAGAGAGAGAGAGAGTTCCAAAAAAAAATTTGTTGCGCGAAGCAGATTAGTGAAGAAGATATGGATGTAAATGGTGATCAAGATTCCTTCCTATCAGAAAATAATGAAGAATGGACCTGCTTTCTCAACGACTGTGATTATTCCGATGGTGAGAGCAATGAAAAGTCAAGAAAAACAGTTCCAGATTTCAATGCATCCTCTAGTCAGTCACCATTGCTGCCTAAAGTGGATGTAGCAATTCCAGCATCAACAAGTGTGACGAGGGTTGTGTCATCAGGGAATATTAACGACAGTGGTGATGATGTTAGAGAGCCTGTAGAAAATCATGAAAGACATCTATGGACTGAGAGAGAGAGGAGGAAGAAGATGAGAGACATGTTCACTAATCTTCAAGCTTTGCTTCCTCATCAGTTTCATCCTAATAAGGTAATCTAATTAAGTATTTTTTAAAAAATAAAAAAATGTCATTTTTTTTTATCAACTAATTGAAAATTGTAACAACTTATTGTTGTAAAATGTTAAAATTAAAAAAAAAATTGCTCAAAGCGGTTTTTTTCGAGCATATTTTTGAGAAAGTCATTTTGCATGTAATCAGCTATTAGCTAATTTACCAAACATCTTTCTACAATAAGTTAATGTTATCAACTAGTCAAAGCCACTAACACAATCAGCTAACAAGTATTTACCAAACACTCCCAAAGTGTTTGTTACTTGTATGTTATAAGTGAAAATGTAATATCTTTGAAGAAAAATGTAATACTACGACTGTTTAACTAAGTCAAATAAGTCAAAATTGACTGATAAGCTAACTATGTTACTAAATATGACATTAATTCTTAATTAGTATTACATTTTCATCTGAGATGCTCTCACACAAGTTTTATATAGATACTAATAAATATCTTTTTTATTATATATTCTTTTCCAGACGAAAATTAATTTGAATATATTTTTGGAAATAGGTTGACAAGTCCAGTATTCTTGATGAAGCCGTGAAGCATATAAAGGGACTTGAAAGTACGCTGAGCGACCTCCAGAGACAGAAGTCGGAAATGCTTGAAAGTTCGAAAACAAGAACCATTTTGGGCATGACGGACATGGCTGATCAACGTGGTACATTTGCTTCCGACAATGGTACGATGATGATGAGCAGCATCCCACATATGACATCTATACCCCCTTCTGATCATGTCTTTAAAACATGGACCTCTCCTAACGTGACACTCAATGTGTGTGGCAATGATGCACACATTAACGTTTGCTGTTCTAAGAAGTTTGGTGTCTTAGCTGCCATTTGCTCTGTGCTGGAGAAGTACAAAATTGATGTGCTATCTGCTCATGTGTCATCGGACCATAATAAGAGCATGTACATGATCCATGCCCGTGTAAGTCTTCCTCGTCCTTATCATACATACCCTATAAACAATGAATCCCATGACCTTTGGCATGAGTTGGTTCTAATACTAAATAGAAACATAATATGCTTCATCTTAACTAATTAATAGACTAATTAAATTAATAGTTGAACAATATATTTATGTTTATATATTATATGTTTATGTGGTTTGTTTAATTCAATATGTTGAAACAGGTGATAGCAGGTGGATATGAAGGTCAATTTCCAGTAGAAGAGATTTACAAGGAAGCCGCAACAGAGATTATTGGAGTTTGTGGGTAACTGCATGCCCATCACTGATCCATGTTGCATTGATATCAATATTAGAGAAATACTAGTGCTATGTCTTTTCTTGATTTTTTTTTGGGTGCGTATATGAATATTTAATTAATTAATGTTTGGGGGACATTTTAAAATTTTAATTAATGTGCTGTATGTGTGTTTTTATATATTAGACCTGTTTGGTAAAATAATTAGTCTATTAGTCAATTTTGACTTATTTGACCACTATTAGTTGTTTAACTAACAATCAATATGGGTGGCAAGACCTTGTGGTCTAATGGCACCGAGGTTGCACTCCCATTTGGGAGGTTGTGGGTTTGAGCTTCATTGACTCTTTGTGTTTCAGTAGGTTGAAAAAGTGGTTATGAACAGATGTTTGATTAATTAGCTTTTTGTAACAACTTATTGTTTCAAGGAGCATTGGTAAATACATACGATCCAAGTTGGGAAAGATATATGGGACCTAGTCACTGGTGAGCTGTCGTAGGCTTCCAAATTAAAACCTTACAAACGTAGTAGCGGGAGTAAGGATCGATCCCACGAGGAGTAACTAGTTTAAAATATGTGCTCAAATTAAAGGTAGGGGGGTTTGGAATATATCGAGAATAAAGATAAAATAAAAGAGAATTTAAATAAACAAGAAATTTAATTGAACGAATAAAGCAATGAAAATAATATATCGAAAACACTTATAATAGGAGACCTTGGTTAGTAAAGATCCACCACCGGAATTCAACACTGATCATTGATTAATAAAGTAATTAATATGGAATTGAATATTTGTCGTGAAATTATTTCATTTCTGTTTTCCCTTAGTTGTAGGTAACTAAAGCACACGCGGTTTAATTACCCCTAACTACTAAATAATCTAAGACAAGCGCTATAGATTTAATTTAATAGCAGCAATAGGGACTAGGAAAACCGACAAACTAAATAACACAAGCACAAGCGGTTGCATTTAATTTAGGAAAATATTCTACCCGAGACCAATTATCACTAAGCCGTCAATAATTAACCTCAGTTGCTACTGAATATTAGAATAATTTGTAGCACAACATTATCTAATATAGCAAATAATTATATCAAATAAATAACTAGTAGGCCTCCCTAGCAATTAAATGATACAACTATTCAAATAATTTAGAAGAATATTTAATACTCAAAATGCATAAAAACATATATATATAATAAAGTTAAATAAATAACCTTACAGCGTTATGAACTTCGGGGCTTCAATTCACTAAACCAACTAGAAATTAGCCACAAATGGACATTGATAACAACTTCAACGAATACTATAGAGGAGGGAAGAATGAACGTTTTTTCAATACTACTCTATCATCTATTTATAGTATTCCTAAAATAGAATTCGTCTATTTCCTACCATTCAATTCCTAATTTTGCGTTATGTCTTGAAGATTTCCGTTGCTGCCTCGCCATACTTTGCGCACGAATTGAAGTCATCTTCTATTTTGGCGCCCACCTGCACAAAAACAAACAAATTAACATTAGGAATAAGCATTATATATATATATATATATATATATATATATATATATATATATATATGGTACATGTATGCATTATATGTATTATATATTATATATATTAAATATTATATATAAAAGAACTAATTATTAGATAATATTAAATAATTAATGCAAAATTATTATAAAGATGTACCTAAAATATGAGTGTCAAATGTGCCTATCAGTCACTCTTTTTATCAGTGTGTGTGTGTGTGTATATATATATATATATATATATATATATATATATATATATATATATATATATATATATATATATATATATATATATATATACTAGTTTTTTACGCGCATTGCGCGATTGGGATAATGTCCAATATTTTTTTTTTTAAATAAGTACTTTAAAGTGTATCAAGGCAAGATTAAATTAGAACGTTTTATGCATAAATAATTGAATGTTGAATTTGCGTATTTAAATAGGTAATTCTAAGTTTACAAATGCAAGATAATATAGTCAAGATTGATTATAATTGTGAATAAAATAATTGTATATGTATGGTTGAAACCAAATACGGGACATAAGGGAGAGCAAATAAAAATTAGGGTATAAAATATTAAATATATACTAATATTGAATAATTAACTGCTGATTACCAAACAAGGACATTGCGGGTTAGTTTTCCACTTTAATTTGTTGTGTGATTTGAATACTCTTTTTGTCAATAAATCCCCCAAGTAGTTAACATGATTGACTTATTATTATTATTATTATTATTATTATTATTATTATTATTATTATTATTATTATTATTAGGAATAAGAGTCAAATAGGCCATCGAACTGCACACAATAATGCAATTAGACCACTGAACTTAAAAAACTAACAATTGGGTCCCTAAACTAATCAATTTCAAACAATTCTTCCAATTTGAAGGTTTCCAACAGGTCATCAAGTCATCCTCCCAAATTAATTATTTTTTTAAAAAATAAATTTTAAAAATTAATTATTAAAAAAAAAACAAAACAAAACGAAAAACAAACAGGACTCCGGCGGCCGGTTTCTTCTACTATTCTAGCCCAACATAGTGCCATGTATGCATTAGTGCTCTCCTTCTGAACCCCCCTCCATTGCAGATCAATCAAAGCTCACAACGCCAAGATTTGTATCGCAGGAGCACACCCTAGCTTGCTAGGGCTAAATAGCCCCATCGCCAAAGATTCTTCTACCGTGACAGCGAAGAATGCATAAAAGCAAGAAATTTCGAGGCGCATCAACATAAATAATACTTCGTAACTACATAAATATATATTGGGGAAAAAATTATAGAGGATTAAAAGAATAATACTGGAATAACAACAATAATTATTATAATTATTAACAGAAGAAAACAAAACAAGAACGAAATTGAATGGTAGAAACATATGAACACAACAGTGGAAGCAGTCCCTTCTCTTGGTCGTTACAAGAAATCCCATTTTTCTTCTTCTATTATACGAATTGAAGAAACCGGCCGGAGACGAAGTGGGTTTCTTCGTCGGCAGAGTCCTGTTTTGTTTTTTTTTTTTTTTTTTTGTTTTTTTTTTTATAATTAATTTTTAGAATTTATTTTTTTAAAATAATTAATTTGGGAGGATGACCTGTTAAAAACCTTTAAATTGGAATAATTGTTCAAAATTTGTTCGTTTAGGGACCCAATTGTTGGTTTTTAAAGTTCAGTGGTCTAATTGTATTATCGTGTGCAGTTCGATGGCTTATTTGACCCTTATTCCTTATTATTATTATTATTATTATTATTATTATTATTATTATTATTATTATTATTAAATATATGTATACCCTTAGGTCATTTTACATGTTAATCTAAACAGCTAATTTTTTCAAATATCTTTTTACCAACCGTTAATATAATCCGCTTGTCAAATCTGCTAATATAATCCGCTAACGCTAACCACTAACCGCTGATTGTCAAACAAGAACATTGCGAGATAGTTCTCACTTCAATTTGTTGTGTGATTTGAATACTCTCTTTGTCAACAAACCCTCAAGTAATAAATATGATTGACTTTATTAATTATATTTTTTTTCATGGTATTAATAAAATACTTGGTAAATAAATATATAACATTATTTTGTATTATAACTTTGATATTTAATTAAAAAAATAGTCAACAAAAAAAATAATAGACAATGTAGTGAATATAATCAATTGATGAATTTGAATGTAAAGAATTTTTACATTGGAGAAAAATAAAGACAATATAACTAATAAAATTACTTCTCTTAATTAATTTATTGATAATGAATAATTTATTTATTTTTAATAAAGACATTGTAGGGACAATGTAGCGAATATAATAAATTGATGAATTTGAATGTAAAGAATTTTTATATTGGAGACACATAATTCTAAATTAAAGAAATGCATATGTATTATTTTTTGTTGTAGCTACTAAATTATTATTTAATTTAATAAGAGGAAAATAGAGTACTAATTATGCCAACTTTGATTGGGATGGGGTTCGAACCTAAGACCTTTCTTATTGAAATCAATCAATGATTAAGTTAAATAGTTAACGGTGAACTAACGGAAAATATAATATTTAACAGAAAAATTAACGGATAATCATATTCATTAAGGATAAATTAGTAAATCTTAAAGAAAAAATTAAAACCTGATCAATCTGAGCCATTCATTTGATTAAAAAATTTGACCGCCATTTTTTCTACCCATTATAGGCCTAACTCTCTTGGGCTCTTATTAGTATATAGTAGATATATATATATATATATATATATATATATATTATCTTTTGAGCTTCTAGCTCAGTTTACTTCTTATGAACTTCTAGTTCAGTCTACCTAGTACGTGGATTCAAATATTGAAGATCTTTTCATCAATCGTCCATAGAATTTCTCGGCATTTTTTTAAATTCGAACATTTATCTCCCCCTAATGCCGTGAAATGATCTTCATAAAGTGTGCAGTCTGCGTACCTAATTATATATTGATCCCTTATCATGGGCTCTAATGATTTAAATAATAGATGGAGGATTATAATCAATATATACATGCCCACAAAGGTACGCTATGTTAGTGATATAGGAAGAAGACTGCACACTGTGAATAAAACGCAGATGGGAAATGTTTGGTTTTATACCACGCACTAAGTTCTAGGGGGAATAATTATGATATGCAGTAGGTCAGAGTGTGATAACCACAATATCATGTAAAGTTGATGTCCCCAACAAGAAAATATATAATTGTCCAAGGCGACCCACTAGTTCATGCTATACTATAAAATCATTTGGGTCTTTAAAGCCATTAAAAATGTATCATAACATATGAAGTACCCAAAACATATATGCAATCATCTAAGAGTAACATATAGAGTACTCTAACATATATAATCAGATATGAAAGCATACATATCAAATGATATTATAAGGATACACAACAATCGTAGGTAAGATGTGAAGCTTGTTAAATAAAATAGATCTTCAAGATCTCTC